TCAGGATATTGGGCTTTCTTCTCTTACCCGTTATAACTTGTGGCAATTATCAATAATATGTGGTTTTACTTGTTAAGTTTGGCAAAATTTAGCCTGCCTATTGCCTTCCTTGTCAAAACATAAATGAAAAGAGATGTACGTAAGTGTTCAAAGTATATGTAGCGTATGTTGACAATTTTGTTTGAATGCTAAATTCAAATTGGCTGTACAAGTTGGGGGATCTTTGTCAATGTAGAGTTTTGTTTTTGTTGTGATGGTTCGGTTCTTCAAAAGATATAATTGTTTAATATCTTTTCTGATTCGGTTGTTGAGTTCTGTGTAGTTGATTCATTTCTACATTTTTGGTGATGATTTTAGATGATTTAACATGTGTTGGGTCGCACAATTTTGGATGCCAAGGTCAGCTTCATGGGAAGTTGTGGATGCTGCCTGTACATCTTGTCTTTAATCATCAAGGTCTTATATTCTTTATTCTCCATGCTTTGTTTGACTAGTTGGGGATTTCATTAACATTCTCTGTTATTTGCTTGCATGATTCTGAATAATGTTTTTGGTGGGACAGTTTAAAGCATCATCTAAAAGCTATGTATTACTCATTTTTTTTCAACCATATCCGTTTAGGTCTTTTAATTAGAGAGGACAAGGATAAGTTAACTCCTCGAGTAAATAGTTACGAGTTTAGGTTTCATATTTCTTTTCCTCGTTCTGTCCATGTTCTCCATGTCTGGTGAAGTCATTAGTATCTGTAGCTGAACTGGAACAGGATAATCTGACATTTAAGAGTTAGCAATGGTGCCTCTGATAGGGTGATAATGCAAAAGTCATTACCGAGATTCCCACTGGAATTATTCCAGGTAATGCCAATTTTGTCAGCCCGCATTTAGGAAGATGGCACAATGATGTTTAATCCTGTTTTGATCTTATCCTTGAACGTATCATATTTTCATGTTCTAGACTCCCTCTCTGACATGCATGTTTTTGTTTATGTATTATTTGGTGTTTTAATTTTAAATTTCAGATAAAATTATCTGTCTGGATTCTGGAAGTGTTGGTTTATTTCTTGATACATGGTGGTTTAGGTGGACTTTGACCGGTCCATCCATGTTAGGACCTCTCTCTCTCTCTCTCTCTCCCAACCTCTCTTCTCTCTCACTATCTCCCTCTCTCCTCTCTCCTCTCTCCTCTTCTCCCTCTCTCTCTCTCTCTCTCTCTCGATCTTGCTCTCGCTATCGCTCTCTCCCTTTTTGAATAATCATTTGAGTTTCTATCTTGTTGGCCGAGGCAGTTTCAGATCATTTATAATCTTAATTTAAATTAAATTTTGGTAAGAGTGTCGTTAACCTTAAAAAATTATTTTTTTTGAAATGGAACTAAACATATCCCCACCTCATGTTTGCTTTTCCTGTTTGTCTCGTCATGATTTATGAGTGTGATGAAGTCATATTGCAGCAGACCAAAACAATGTATCCAAATATCCAATTGTTGAGAGATGCTTAGTGGTTTTCAAAATTGTCTCTGTTTGATTGAAGTAATGTTAGATAAGCTTCTTTCGTCATGAAAGTAGGAGCATAAATTATGTTTTAATCTCCAAGCTCAATGTGAAAGCATACATTTAATTTGATTATGAATTAAAAAATTTCATAGTTTTCAATATGCTTACCTTAAAAGAAATTATCAATTCTACATATCTTTTATTAATTCATTTTGTTATATATTTAAATTGTTAGTTATGAACATAAAGGGTAGATTAAATTTGACACAAACTGATTGCTGATCTAATGTAAATTGGGATATTAAAAATTGTAAATTCTAAAACGATAAGATAAAAAATGAATAGGTTCAGGTTGATTATACTTCAATCCAGTCTCATCAATTATTTAAATCTAATTTTAGATGCATATTAGATTGGACAATAGGACTATTGTAGTTGGAGTTTATTCTGGTCATGGTTTGGGCTGATGAAGAATTTGAATAATTTTTAACTGAAAAATTCAAACTAAATGAAACTCATTTTAAAAAATATTTGCTAAAGATACAAATCCTCAACTGTGCATAAAAGAGTTGTAAATTTTTTGAATGTGTATAAAAATATTAAAAAATATTTGAATTGTGCATTAAAATTGAAAAATAGAATGCTATTCTTTTGATTTTGAGTTTTTTTGCCCTTTGCAAGTAGTTACTGCGCATAGGGTTTTTTTTCCTTTTCGGTAGGTGAAAAGGTGCTTCTGGCAGCACTTGAAAGTCTTTGCCATCAATGTCTTGAGTGAAGTGAGTAGGCATTAACAGAACTTTTGTGGGGTTGGTTTGTAATTCTGGGCAGACTTGTGACCCAATATGGACAGAGAGCCAATTGGTTTGATCTTGGTGTGTTTCTTTCTTGGGTCTGCTCTTTAAGTGACGTCCAAAATCGGATAGATTATTTTCGTTGTACTGATGATTGCTGTATGTTACTTCAAGAAAACTACTCAAAAGTTTGCTATAGGAAGAAGGGTAAAATAGGAAAAGACTGTAAAAGGGCGGAAGGATCACTTTGTAGAGGGATAGAATAGCTCTCTTAGAAACAATTCTAAATTACGAAATCACTCTCCATCCATAAATGAAACTTATTTAAGTTTTAAAGAGTTGTCTACCCATTTGTATGTGCGATTCTTTCATTAGTTTCTTAAGTTGCATGAATAAAATGGCCAAAGACATAATGGAACACAGATATGGATATGTTTATAGTTCTTTAGCATAAGGGATAGTGCTACATAAAGTGTCGTAATGTTCGGATTTATGGATTCGAATGGCAATTGTATTAATTAAAAATTTAGTATAATTCAAAAGTGATATAGAATATTATATGTTAAATATATAAAAATTGTCTAAAAGAGTCATAACATTACTGAATTATTTATATGATGTTAAGAGTTTTTTAATTGTGTAAATATAATGATCAAATAAGAGTATTTAGAGATATTTTAGGTTGTTTTTTAGTATTTTTTTTTATTGAAGGTTGTTTTTTACGAATTGGCTTTAAAGTATTTGTTCTTGATCATTAAATATTTTTTTTAATTTATATTAACCATCCAATTTCTGCATATATTTTAATTTTAAATATTAACAAAAGAAGACAAATTTACAGAAATTATCTAAATGCAGAATAGTTTCTTTTTTATAGATGTAATATAGTTTTCTTAGATTGTAACTGTAAGTAGTTCACCCCAAAAAAACTGTTTGGCATTCAAGAGCTCACAGGATAAGCAAATGTCAACCATTTGAATCCATTTAAATCACATTAGAATCTTCGTTTTGTTATCTGCAGTCTGGACAAAACTCCATTGAGAAACACAGGACAGATGCCGAAAAAATTGATTCACAAAACCATCCAGGAAACACACCTTTCCCTTCTATTATACTGTGCAAATCATCCTAGAATTTCCATCCACACGTCTGTATTCCATTTATTTATATACACTAACCTTAACGAACAATATTTCGATCTTTCTCCACGTGTACGTTCCAGATCTTTTCTTTTACACGCTGGCAATCTAGGTGTTCTGGAATGGACCAATACGAGATCGACACTCCCTAATCCCATGGATCGTTCCCCCGCTATAAATTGTTGGGGGGATCAATTCGGAAGAAATCAGAGAACAAGTAATCGCGAATCTGCATCCTTTTGATTTCTTCTCGGGCTAAGATTGTCTGTTTTCTGTGTTCATATAGTTTTTATCTATAATGGCTGCCGAAGAAGCCGAAGTTCCAGTAGTTGAGCAGCAGGAGCAGCCGGCGGCGGAGGAGCCGAAGCCGGAGGAGAAGCCTGTAAAGGAGAGAAAACCTAAAGCTCCCAGGGAAAAGAAACCTAGACAGCCGAAAGCCGCTGCTCATCCTCCTTACTTTCAGGTATTCTTTCATCCCTGATCCATTTCTTCTCTATTTATGCAAATTTCCTCCTTCGAGCTATGCTTTCACGATGAAATTGATCGGTTATGGGATTGATCTTGACGGTGTATGTTTATTCTACTGTAGATGATCAAGGAGGCACTATTGGCCTTGAAGGAGAAGAACGGTTCTAGTCCGTACGCCATAGCAAAATACATGGAAGGGAAGCACAAGGCGGTTTTGCCTGCTAATTTCAGGAAGATGTTGGCTCTGCAACTAAAGAATTGTGCTAACAGAGGCAAACTCATCAAGATCAAAGCCTCTTATAAGCTCTCTGAGTCAGGCGAGAAGGACAAGGGCACCCCCACCATGACCAAGACCTCGAAGAAGTCGACAGTGAAGAAACCAAAACAAGCTAAAGCGAAAACAACCACCGCTCCTCCAGAGCGCAAGAGGACGGCGGTCAAAAAATCCGAGGGAGCGAAGAAGAAGAAAGTCGCGACCAAGAAGACAAAGAAGTCAACCCCTGCAAAGCCAAAGCAGCCCAAGTCCATCAAATCTCCTGCGGCTAAGAAAGCCAAAAAAGCTGCTTAAAGAACTATAGAATCTAGTCATGTGCTTAGCCTTTTAGCTCTTGTATGTGAATATACAGTTTGTATGTAATCTATTTTGAGGTTTATGGTTTAGTGTCTGGACTGGTTTTGGCCATCTTCTTTTCTTCATTTTATAGAATTTTCTTGATTTGAATATTTGATCCTTGGATTCCCAACTCGGAAAACTGAGACAGTGTTTTCAGTAACCCAACAAGGCAGTGGTTGTACTTGCGTGGCGTTTAAGCACCTAATCATTTTTCATTAGCATCAGCGCGGCAATGAGATAAATCAGAATAGCATTTTCTGCTACATGTCTGGTTTAGTCTCTGGCTTTCGCGTGGATCTAAAGATAAAAACGTGTCTAAAACCTTTATATATAATATATATATCTATGGCATATTAACATGTTAATGTAACAAGTTTTTAGATGGGACTGGAAATAAACTTCTTTGAGATATTAGGAATTGAAGAACGGACCAACTCATTATTGCTTGAATGTTTAATTACTCACCTATACTTTTTTTCAGGAAAAAAAAAAAAGGATACGGATTTCATATTTGAAGTTTGTGTGAATTTGTGTTACAGTCAGAGAAAAAGTAGAAAATCTTAAGACTGATATATATATAACTGAAGGTGACTGACTGTACCTAACTTTTTTCTGACTAGTTGTGTATCTCTATGGCACAGTTGATTTGTGGTCAATGTGGTGTATTTTCTTATAAGAGTTGGAGTGGTTGGAATTCTTAGAAGAGTTGAGTGGTTCGAAGTGTGTTTTCTCTGACCAAAAAAATATATATATATATTTGATGAGTAAAATCGCTTAAAGATTTTACCAAAAAAGTTGTACGTACCATCAATAATCAGTCTATAATAATTTGTGGCTGACAATACACGGCCCAGCCATTTCATTTTCTTCCACAATTGGCCCATTAATTTCGGGCCTGTCGGCCTTAATTCAAGAGGGTATATAAACATGTGTAGCATTCTAAAACTGGTTCACAAAGGACCAGTTGCAGTTTACATTCCATTTCATAAGTTGCTATTTCTTTTTCATAAATAAATAAAAAAAAAAAAAAAAAAATCAAATCAAGTTTTTAACCTGATTTGAAATTTCGAACTGAATAAACCTAGTCGAGTTCTGCTTACTTAATAACATGTACATTATCCTCTTATAGTTGAGTTCTTAAACTTTAATGATTAGATAAAGCAGTAAATTCTAGAAAAAATAAAATAGCTTAGACCATACAATACTCTTGTCGTGAAGCTTGAGTTCAAATTGCTTAAAAATTATTAGATTTTGGACTTGGTTACATTAGGCCTATTATTTTGCAATTATAACTTCGAACTACTTGTTTCCATTTTCCATCGGCTGTATTCACTTTTTATTAGTCACCTTTCAGTCGATGAATGTCAACAAGTCAATATCTTTGTTTGAATGCTTCTCACAATATTTGGTTGCCGACTTCTTGTTTTGACTCTTCAATTATGAGAAAGAGACCATTAAAATCTCCATACAATTTTCCCACTAATATTTTTCTTTTCTCCAACCATATAAAGTTTTATATATATATGTATGTATGTATGTGTATGTATATGAAGGAGGAAGTTATTTCTGCCTTATCCTTGCATGAATAGTTATGTTGCGTGCCATCATTGTTCTCCAAAAAGATAGCTTTGTTTTAGTCAACTATTACACTAAAATTGCTCCATGTTCATCTCCCCCCCGCCCACAGTGAGAGGTATAAAATTTTTGATTGGCTATTGAACTTGGATGTAAAATCCTACCCCTACATACCAGCAAACATGTATGTAGGGATTGCTGGCAAATCAAAGCTTGCGTGTTCGTGAAGGGAATAACACTGTGTTGTATTTGAATACCTTTTACATAATCCAATGTAATAATAAATTATTTATCACTTTTTATTTTATTATTATTAAAAGGGTATACATGCATTTTGTAGTAAAAATTATTCAACAATTTTTCATTAAAAATTTTCAAGCCTATATATATATATATATATATATAATCAAATTGAAGCAATTACAATAAAAAAATATATATATCTTTTGCACTATTCATCATTCTTTTATGGCACTCATTTGGTGGAATGTGATTGCTCGAGACTCTCTTCATTACAGGAGAATGAGACCTTTCAGTTGAGTTGTCAGCAACAACAGAGTAGAACTGTAGAAGCACTATTCATATATATATATATATATATCTATTATATTATATCTATATATGTTCACATATCATTCTCATCCCCAAAAATAAATGGCATCGTATTTCAAAATTAGACTTTTAATGAGTAGTCTATACATTGTTTTTTAAAGTTATATTCCTCCCATAATAAAAATTTATGGGTCTGAATAAAATTATATTTTCATATATATGTTTATTTAAAAATTATTTGTATTATATTATGATTAATTTCTATATAATATCTTATTCAAGATAAATAAATCATTTAACATAAGTCTTCAATTACAAATATAGTTGTCTGTCTAATAACATAACGAGATAATTTTTTTTTTTACAAAAAAATTATTGGTCCAAATCGTATTATATTCGTATTCGTATATATATTTATTAAAAAATTATTTATACAGTATTATACTTAGTATTTATATATGAATTAATGGAAGATAAATGCATTATTTACTTGAGAGAAAGCTGGCGTGAAAAGTCTGTCCCAATTGGAGTGAAAGACATAAATTCTCAATCACAAATATTCCTGTTCGTCCAATCACAGAATCATTTTCTTTTTGCACAAACTCACCAAAAAAAAAAATTAAAAAAAATTCAATTTTGTTATTGTTAATATTCCACGTGCTTCTTTAATTTTTCTTATTGGCTATTATTCCCCTCTAAACTCCATCCAAATCACGGTGGTCAATACATATATATATATATATATACATATTTTACATCATAATATAATAAATCTTAAACCATAGTTCAAACTTAAATTTTTATTTTAAATTAGTATTCCAAGAATAATGAAGTCAAAATAGGTTGGTCATGAAATGTATATATATATATAATAATATTGTTAATATAAAAAAAATTAGATAGTGATAAGTGGGTAGAAATACGAGTTATAAAATAGGTGCATGAGTTTAGTGATGCGTGGCACTAAAAAGACATGTGAAGCAAAGAAAACAAAGCAACGTCAAAACGGTCATGAGGAAGCATGCCCCAACAAGCGCCGTGGTACACAGCGCACGCTAGACAAACTATTGGCCCCATCTCAGCCCACACGCACGCGCTCTCCGTCCTCACCTTACGTACTCGCTCACTTTCTTTTTTTCTCTTCTATTAAACCATAAATTTCTCTAAAAACAAACTCTAAATACCAATATATAGATTTACAGTCATTATCATTAATTTATAATTAAATTAATTTAATAAAATTAATATTTTAATTTATTAATATAATTACTATATTTTTTGATGAATAAAACTTTTTTAATTAAAGTAATTATATTAGTTAAAAATTTGACCTATTTTTTTTTCTTTAAAAAAAAATTTCAAAAAGTATAATTTGTGACTTTTTTTAAAATAAAATAAGTTATAAGAAAATTAAGCACTTTTCTTATTCTAATTATTCACGTGTCATTAAATAATTGATAAAAGTGACAATCTAAACTATTTTTTTTAGAATTAAATTCAAATTAATTTTATTAATGATTATAAGGAAAAGAAGTCATAATGTACAAATGGTCATGATTAAAGTCAAAGGTATACGCTCACATTCATTAAATATATGTGTGTGTGTGTATTTCTTCTTAAAAGTTAATATTTCTCCCCTCATTTTCTTTACAAAAAGTTATAGTTAGAATAAGGTTAAACTGTCGTATTTTCTTAGTTGAAAATCACACGTTATTTTATTTAGTTTGTATATATATATATATAGTTTTTAATGAATGAATGTATTTATTTTTTTAGTAAAAAAATATATTATATATATATATATATATATATGAATTTATAACTCTGACTACATGATATTACGGCTACGAAAACATAGAACAAATTATTTTTTAAAAAATATAGATTAAAAATAGTATTTTAATAAATAAATAATTTAAACTAAATTAGAGTTATTTAAACATAATAAGAAATTAAACCATTTTTAACTATAAACGTGAACCTATAAAAAAAATATATCTCTTATATTTACATCTTTTTAGCTTATTCAATTTTAGAACTAAATAGTTATTAACATGAAGTAATTATATCGATTTAGATTTTTGTTTTTAAGAAAAATAGTTGTATAAGAAATTTAAAAAAAATTTGTCAAATTTTAAAACAGAAAATATACCACTTTTTAACAAGACATCTGTAAATGATTACTAATTTGAACTTAGAAACCACATCAAAAACCTTAAATAAAATCAACCTTTAGATTTATACTGATAATAAAGTCTATGTACCCCAAAGAAAAGAAGCTTAAAAATAATAATAAAATTAATACTTTATATTGAGAGTATCATTTCTGCTATTCCTATTTTTTTCTAATTTATTCTTCTCTTGCATAATCTTTTTCTCCATCGAATAATTAGAATCGATATGAATTGTTGAATTCAGAGAGAGAATTTTTCACTCATTCACAACCATATTTTTTTACAAGAATATTATATATATGTTCGATCCATTATCCATCGAATATTCATATAATACTACCAATAGATCTTCCATCATCATCATCATCATTTCTCAAATACACATATTCCAATATCGCAGTCTGAGCTTGAAATATTCAAGAATCCATTTAGCTTATTCTCTTCTTCTCTTCTACTCTGCAATAACAACAAATCCATCTCACTGCTTGAAATACTTATATTATCAATTCCAAAGTTCGACGATGAGGCTCCATGATTGTGTCCTCCATGATCATATTGGTCTTCTTGGCTTAATTGTGAAGCAACAAACTTGTCAAGAGCTCTCCAATCAGTGACTTGTTTTGTC